GCTAGTTTAAGAGAAAGTTCGATAGTCCTCAGTCCTGCTGAGTACGAAAACGGACTCTACTGCTTGCTGTTGAAAAGGCTTTTAGTCAAATTGAAAGCTTATATATACAGTAAAAAAAAAGAAGGTGTGAAGTAAAAAAGCCAAGGAATACTGTTTCTTGGTTGTATTCCTAACAGTACTTTAATATACGAAACCACCGCTGGAATCTGGCCTGTCCTGGCCACATTTAATAGCCCCCACCCCCCCCCCCCCGCCACCCCCTCAGTGGACGTGTTACGCTGTGTGCCTCTGATGCGATGCAGATCAAGTCACTGACTGTTGTCTCCTGAGTGTGCTTTAAGATGTGACCTCTGACTCCAGGAAGGGGCGGGGCCTTTGCCTTGTCGGTGATGTCAGAGAGCAGCAAACATGAGTCTCCAATCACATTGCTCAGCTTCTCCCACTGCTCTCTGGTCCTACACACACACACACACACACACACACACACACACACACACACACACAACACACACACACCACACACACACACACACACACACACACACACACACACACACACACACACACACACACACACACCACACACACACACACACACACACACACACACACACACACACACACACACACACACACACACTACACACACACACACACACACACACACACACACACACACTACACACACACACACACCACACACACACACACACACACACACACACACACACACCACACACACACACACACACACACACACACACACACACAGAGTCTGTAAATTATAAACAGAATTGTACATACACATCAACTCGGAAATGATAATGTTTAAGACTTACTTCTCGTCTGAGCGGATCGATGAGGGCCACCACGGCTGGGTATTTGCTGACGAGGGTTTGGTACATGTCAACTAATTCATCCGGAGTCTTCAAAACTCCTGTTGCAATTTCATACTTCCCTTTAGTCTGAGGAGAGGAGGACAAACAGCTGCAGGATGTCTCTGTCAGTGGTGCTTTAACAGTATTGCAGGGTTGGGAGGGTTACTTTGAAAATGTAATCTGCTACAAAGACTAGTTACCTGTAAAAAATATGTAACCAGTAACCTAGTCTGAGTATCAAAATAAAGAGTTATGTAATCTGATTACTTCTCGTTTCTTTTGGATTACCTCAATATCAAAAAGTAAGAGTAATCTGATTACATATTTTTTTATGTAACTGCAAGGGAATATAGTTACCTGTTTATGTAACCCGAGTACATTATGCCATTACCGCCCCAGCCTGAGTATTAGCATGTGAGCTGAGTACACATATAAGGACGTGGCCACGTTGTCTCACATGCCCCTTTCACACCAACACGGTTCCCGTTCGAGCTTTTCTGTTTCGGAACCGGTTTTTAATTTCAGCCCCCGTTTTGTTCACACCGCCCAGAGCCCGACTGGTGCTGCGTCATGACGTCACCGTTTACGTCGCTGATTTTCTCCCCAACGGCGTAGGGTCGATGATCGTGTTGCTTTTAATCATACGAATTAAATAACTACTTCTCAACACTTGTACTTTTCTCCAGAGTGCTGTGGTTCATTGTTTATTAATGTGTTTCAGCGGCATTTACCGACCGCTGCAGTTTGGCATCACAACGCTGTTATGAAAGTTTCTCTGGTATAAAATGGGTGATGTTAGCATAGCAACCGAAGCTAAACTGACTATCTTGACTACTTGTTGCTATCCTATTGTGGCATAAGCTGGCACATTTTACCGGCGTATTTTTCATTATGATTCTATGTGATAGTCGGACATGAGTCATGACAACCTGTGCAGCCCATGTATTGATTCCATCCGATAGCTGCTATAATACGGCTCCGCTGCGGTGTGAACAGGAAAAAACGGTGCTTTTCAGGCTCTAGCTCCGAACCGGCCCTGGAACCGCGTTGGTGTGAAAGGGGCAACAGAGAGCCAGCAGCAGGTTCACTTACATAGTCCATGAGCTCCGGCGCAGCACAGTTCAGAGCTAACTGGACCTCTGTTCCCAGGGCCAGACCAGAGTTGGAGCAGGCTTCAGTGATCAGATCCAGAGGCTGCTCGGGCCGCTCGTAGCTCACAGCCAGCACTCCACTGTCACACAGCACTGCCTGAGCCTCGGAGCAAACACACAGTTCACCTCGTCAACACCATGTATGCATTATGCTCAGCTGCATGTGAATCACAGTAGAATAGTGTTTATTCATATATTTGAATGAAACAGTTGTCATTGCAAGGTTATATGTGTTGGAAGACTGCCCCTCTTCACTGTTCACATTATGATTGTTAAGACTACGGGTCATTGAACAATGCCGGAGATAATTGTGTATGCGGTACAAATGCTGCATGACAGAAAAGGTTGAATATTGAATGCTTAGCATTCTGAAAGAGTTCCAGGCCTGCACACATGAGTTAATTTGAAGGTGAGCAAGGACAATGGAAAATAATCTTTTATTTACGTAACGTTAAGAAACGCTCATTAAAAGGCCTTGAACTCTGCCTCGTGTACATTGTGTGCTCTCATAAAGCCCATGTTAACTCACTTCTATTCTTACAGTACGACAGGACAAAACACGTTCCCCTCACCCCATGCTTTGTTGAAGTGTTCATTATTCTCATCATCTCCTTCTGTAACTCAAGGGTCTTTGTGATGATCTGTGGAACAAGTTCACAATGCAGTGAAAACTGAATATAGAAGAACTAAGGTGTCGTTCCAATAATATAACACATTGTAGCATGAACAAAGGAAGCAAAATAAATTGCACAAAGAGCACTATAATTGTATACAGTACCAGGTTACCTACTACTAACAGGTATAACATGTAACTTCAGGTGTTTGAAAGTTACTTGTTTGACTCGTTGTCCAGCTTGGGGGATCAGGATGACCTCCTCCAGTAAACTCAGTTTCCCAGTAGAAGTTTTCCCACAGCTCAGCAGAGTTATTAAAGGCACTGGGATGTGAAACGGTGTGGGATCCTGAGTAGTTGTTAAAGACATCATTACACTTTTCTCCCAGTGGAGTGTTAGTGAATATACACTGTACGTGTGTGCTTGTGTGGTCTAACCTCTCTGTTCTTAAGAGCTGCTATGTATCTGTAAAGAGGGACGCCCTGGATTTTTGCTCCAGTTTGGGCCACAGCCAGAGACACTGAGCCGATGGCTAGGCTCCCAGGCAAAACTGCTTCTGGTGGCTCTGCTGGAGGGAATTGCTTCTCTGCAGTGGTACTCTTCTTGCCTGTGATATAAGCAAAACAAGTTTTAAAGAAGGAAACAAACAACAGCAGTCTGATCTCAGTCTGATTTTAGGCTTGCAGGTGATGTACGGTATAGAGCAACAGAAATGAGCTAAATCAATTAGACAAGGTGGTTAAGGTGTCAGTTTGTTTTGCTCCCACATCATCACATTTCAAAATCCATCCACTATATTTATAAGAAGTATCACTGATGGCAGAGTTTTAGAAAAACGTACTCTAGATACGTAAGATAGCCGGCAAGATCCAGGTATTTTTAGACTAAAATGTTTAGCCATTCTTTTAACCAATTTCAGGTTAAAAAAAGGTGAGGTCAAGAATCTAAAGCACACAATGCACATTTCATTTGCAACCTGGTCTTGGTTGAAATATCAAGGACTGGTGGAGAAGATATATCTCTCTCTCTCTCTCGCTCCTAGTGTTGATACATTTACAGTGTTTGTTTTACTCCTGTGTAATACCTGTATGCCTGCCTGTAAGTCAATCAGTGGGCAAGAATACACAAAATGTGATCAAACTATTTTTTTAATCGAACAGCCTGCCCAATGCTATCTATTAATCCTTGTGTGGGGTTGTTGATCTGCAACAGGAAGTCTGCAGTCCTCTGGGATACGACTTTCCCGAGGCTGCAGAGAACTGGAAGAGCAGGTAAATATCCTCCTGACGGCTGGGAGGAAGAGTTTTCTCGGCTCCGCCACTTTTATAAATAAACTCTAAAACAGACACGGACCTTGACTGTATTATTGACCCCCCACTCTGGTCTGAGGTCAGACTTTTGACAATATGTCAAACACTGTAACCTGTTCACATGTTTGATATGTATTGTTTTATGTTTAAAAGAAAAGAAAAAAGCTTATTTTAAACATTGTACCTTTAATGGTACCGATACAGATAATACTTGTATTAAAGGTCCCATGTCATGGCCATTTCTACTGATCATAATTCCATTGTTGAGGTCTGTTGAGTCTAATAGATTTATATTGTGCAATTTTCCAAACTCACATTGGTTTCTCATACAGCATCTCTGTAAAGTATGTGTATTCACTCTCTGTCCTAAACGGCTTGTTGGAGCTCCTGCCCCCCCCTCCTATGAGCCCAGTGGCCGTCTGCGAGACAGTGAGACACAGTGAGACACAGTGAAACCCAGCCCGAAACCAGCCCGAGCACACACACACACCCGCAGCCTGGCTGGGAGTCTGTGTGTGTGCTCACACACAGACTCATAGCCTCGCCGCGTCCCGCCGTCTCAGACTGAGAAATCGGTGGAGCTGCAGCTGAGAAAAGATTGAGTGTGTGCAGACTTAACGTAACGGCTCAGCGGACGTAACGTAACCGCGGAGCCGTTATACGTCACTGTACCCAGGAAGAAAAAGAGAAATCTCTAACGAGGCGTTCTGGGGCAGCATAGACAGGTCTTTTCTGTGTTAGAGTTGTACTCGCTACAGGGTGTACTTTGAGGGTTTGTGACTCTGCAGACCGGTTACATGCATAAAAAGCAACATAACACACAAGGGGACGGGTAATAACCAGAAAAGCATGACACGGGACCTTTAAGGCTTTGAATGATTTTTATTTGTAAGGGTAGGAGAGTCATGTTGTACAAACCGAAGATGTAACTGATTTCTAATGTAATAAAAGTCCATAACAGCATAGCATTAAATGGAAAAACCAGTAGAAAAACCAGCACACAAACGTGTTCTGGTTCAGTATCTGGCTGCGCTGCTCATTTGATTTTGATACGAAATAATTAGCATGTCCAGTCTCTACTCTACCTTTATCAACACTCTTCTTGTCTTTGCTCGGTGCGGGGAGTGGAGAAGACGGCACCACCTCAGGCTCCGAGGGGGAACCAAGCTCCTCCTTCTCCTTGTTCTGGATGTCTTTGTCTTCCAGGTAGCGGGCCATAAAGAAGTTGCTGCAAAACAAGTTTAAGGTCAGAAAAACAACACGCTCTGATCTTTAACAAAGATAACGGGGCAAAATGCACATAATACAAGTCAACTAGAAGCAGCAACCCTCCCCCCCTCCCAATTTACGCCACTGCCCCGATTTGATGTCATGGCTGTGTGTTCCCATAGCAAGATGGTGTCTAGGTTTATCTAACATCCTTCTGCCATACACACATCCAGTATGATGCTCATTTCTATAGTCCTTTTCCTATAAATACCTGGGCAATGGGTCAGTACTAGTCTAGAATCTCTTATTGCCTCAGTGGAAAAAACACTATTCTATTTCACCTGCTGTTCTCAGGTCTCTCTTGCAAAATAGATTAATAAAGTACTTTATCAATCTGTACAAAATAAAGCAAGACAACCAAATAGATATAAGTTGTTATCAGAGTTTCCGTTAGCCGGTAATTACCAGACTTTGACCGGTAGAATATGCTGAAGACCGGCAAATCTAAATTTCTCCGGTCAAAATAATTTCCACTTAGCACAATACCGCATCAGTTGCGCCACTTCTGTGACAGACAAGAAGAGTATATGACAGACAAGAATAGTCAATTCTAATGTCTAACACTTAATGTGGAGAAAGAGATGTCCTGTATTAAAAGCAGCGTTCAGTTATTATGCTCCAAATATCTGGAACAAACTCCCAGAAACCTGCAGGTCTGCTGCAACTCTTACTACTTTTAAATCCAGGCTAAAGACTTTTCTTTTTGCCGCTGCTTTTAATTGAACTATTCACATCTTAAACTGCACTGTAACTTTTATCCATGTATTTTTTCTTTTAATGTTTATTTTATTATCTTTGCTTTTTAATGACTGATTTTAAATGCCATTTTATTAATGTCTTTCATTTTTTGTAAAGCACTTTGAATTGCCTTGTGTTGAAAGGTGCTTTATAAATAAACTTGCCTTGCCTTGCCTTGCCTGTATGGGTTGATTGTGCGTTGATCTGTTGGTAATGCCTCGGGGTTCCGGTGGGCATGTAAACAAATGCATAAATGCTATACTTTGCGGCCTCACCCGGTTGCATAGCGACGCTTATTGTTTAGGTGTCTTGATAAGCAGGTAGTCATATCATTAGCTAGAACTAGCTAGATCTGATTGATATGGACATAAATGCGAGTGAAGTCTAATCTGACGGGAGATCAGCTGGAAACTCTGGTTGTTATGTCTGAACAACTTCCACTGCTTAATGTTTCAAATTTGAATCAAGATAGGCAGTGCAATTTCAATTAAGCATTGTTCACATCAACCCCCACCCCATAATGATCCATAGCACTCATTAAGCTTTTCTATGGGTCAGGAGACATAATGCAAAAGCAACCAATAGGAAAAGCTCAGTGCATCAATATGATATGATGGGCTGTGACAATAGGCAAACAAGTTCCTAGCGCAACCCCGAAGGGTCCCCCTTTGTCAGTTATTTAAGTTAATACATTTTGGAATTCCAACATTTCTTCTGTAAAGTTATAAACCACTGGTTAAGCTTCTTAAATAAGCTACTTAGTGACATGACCACCGGGCTCAGGAATGTTTCATCCTGGAGTCCAGGAACCAGAACTGCAACGCTCCCTCTGAGAACCAGGGACACATCCAATGAGTGTGAAATTGGAACTTTTCAAATGGCAAAGTATTTGGTTTCTCCCAGAATGTTTCTTAGTACCAATATTTGTCAGCAGCATTTAACAAAAAGAAAAATCAAAATGAATTATTCAAGGATAGCTACTTTTGAAAGCAGGGTTTTCAAAACGACAACAAAACAAAACGTGGACAAATATAAAATGTACATACAAATAACTGCACACATCTTTATTAGATCAGTGGAATACGTGGAAACAGATGACGATATCCCCACAAAAGAGCAAACCCACCACGGTAAAATAGAAAAACCACCTGAACACTACCTGAGTATGTGGTCCACCTCGGACTGCTCGCAGGGGTTCGTGCCCTTCAGCATGGTGCTCAGAGGCTCATTGATCCACTGAGCAGCAGTCCTCACGTCAGCAGCCCTCTGCTGGTCCAGGAGAGCCTCCTTGGGCCCAGAGAGGCTGGAGACAGCAGCTGAGGACATGCTCTGAACACCAACAAGGACAAAGTTCTTTAAAAACAAAAAGCTACTTTTAACAAACATGTCACACTTGATATTGATGACATGGATGGGGGGGGGGGGGTGAATATGGGTTAATATCTTGCATCGCCTTCTCATCTCTCGTCTCCCGCAACATCCTCTTCCCAGCACACCCTTGTTTTCACAGACCACTTGCACTGCTTTTTGCTGTGGTTACACATTAGTGCTAATGGTGCAGACTGACAATAGCCCCCCCCCCCCCCCCCATCATCATGACCCTGGAGCACAGCTGTGTATCTTAATAAAAACAAACGTTTATTAAGTCAGCTTAAATGGAGAGAAAAGATTGTGGATGTGTTTGGGTTGCGCTGGATTGGCCTCCGAAATGAGTGAACTCATTTTTATATTTACTTTCCTGACACTCAGGTCTTCCAAAATAAAGCTTAATTGAAAATTATAATCATTGACAAAAGCCTAATTTGATCTTCATGTGATTTACATCTATACCTCACATTTCTGCAGCTATCAATACAAAACTTCCAAGCTTCTAGTGGCTCAGCAATTTATTTCCTACTCACAAGATTCAATAGAAAAAATACTTATTACGCCAATGAAATAAAAGCCCTACATTAGTTTCCTGTATGGCTTACACTAGGTGTTAAGGTTTTGATGATTACCTTTAGGTATACATAGGATTTCCTGTTAACAACATATGAGCCCGAATTCAGCCTGAAATCCTCTGGTAGTCTAGCAGTGGTAATAGTAGTGTGTGGGGGTGGGCTTTGCAGGCAAACACCTGTATAATCTACCACTGAATACAGGCACATTTTTTACATGAACCTCACCTTTGACAACATTATTTTAGAATAGCTTTCTCTTAAATAGTTTTGTGTTTTTATGTTGTTATAAATCTTAGGTATTTGAATAGATTATCACATAGGATTTACGAACAGTGTCTTTGGACAGATGGTGTCCTATGCTTTGCAAATGGTAAACCCCCTTAAGGCAAAATTGTGATTTGTAGCATTAGGCTATGTAAGTAAAGTTACAAGGAAAAGACTTGACTTAGTTATTATAATTATCATAATGTATCATTGCACTGAGGAACTGGCCCCTCCTTCTGACAATGGTGTGATAGCACTCAGTAATATTGTTGAGTAAAATCTTTGATGCATCCCCTGGTTGTGTGTCCTCAGCTTGACCTCGGTTCATCGTGTCACATCTCATCTTTCTGGCTTTTGTGATACAGTAAAAACTGAAATGGCAAGGGTCAAAGGTCAGGGTCGGTTTTCTGATTGGTATCGTCTTTGCTCGCTTCTTGCCTCCAGCTGCCTCTTCACATCGGAGCCTTCTGCATGTTTGAGAGGCCCCTCACTGTCACTTCAAACCATCGGCACACCACTAATGAATCACATCTCCTTTGTTAAACCTTTATTTGTTCAATCTTTACGCTCGATGCATTCACTGAACTGAATATGTAAATCTGCAATATCAGTGGCCGCCACAGTCCAAGCAGGAAGTTATATTTTAACATCTGATGTGAGGAAATAATATATAGCTGGTGCTGATTATATAATTAAAGGCCAAATGTAGTTTTACCTTTTCTTTGTTGCAGACAATGCAGAAGACCTCTGCCTCAATGGAGAGTTGTCCTCTTGCATCATAAACCTCCTTTCCCCTCAGCCGGCTGATCCTCGGTGCTGCACACAGCTTTTTAAAGTAGTCTGCCTAAAGTGACAGTTAATGGTATACGAAATTAGAAAATGACTAAATTCAAAGTATTAATATTTAAAATAACATGAACATTAAACAATAACAACAAAATATACTGTTTGTAGAAAACCACACTCAAAACCATTTTCTGCATGGGTTCTGCAACAAATTAAAACATAGTTTGACAAAGTCACAAATAAAGGAATCTTTGATAGGAGGTCAAATTCATTATAAAAGTAATTTATTTTTCAATGTTGTTATCAAGCTAATAATGTGAAAGAATCAACAGGAAATGCCAACACTTCATGTGTGATGTTAAAAGGTATTTTTCATAAAGTCATACAGCTTTTTGACTCAATTCAAAATGTTGTCAAGACCTGAAAATCTCATGACATAAACTTTGGGGCGATTGAAGAACAGTTTCTTCTAACCAATTTGCTCTGAAGGATGATATGTGTGTAGGTTTTTAATGTAACCTAGCACTACACCAGCTGATTCAATATTTATTTTATCATGTTTACCCCTAACACCTCCGTCTTCCCCTCCCCACCTTGGCATGTTCTTTGATTGGTTTTAGATCCAGCATCTTGCTACCCATACAACAAGGTAGAAAGGTAATGAAGCAGCATGAAGTTCACATTAGGAATCATTGTCCAAGGAACGCAAAGAGACTGCTATCAGGAATGAGTTTTAATGTCAAATGTATTAATGCCTGACATTTTTGGCTTGTGCCCCTGCAACACTGGACTGAGCTGTGGCCACATCGGAAATAGGAGTCTATGTTAATACCCTTTGTAGTGGTTTTGCAGTTAATATTGAGCTGTTACTTGAGCCAATGTTGTGCTTATGTGTTGTGTTTTGTAAATTGTTATTAACATTAACAAAAAATGTTGTCTCGAATTAAATCTGCCCCTCTAGTCAAATAACTGGCACCAGCATGGCCCCACCAGTCGACTGTAACTCCATCAGTGTCATTAGTCACACCTGTGCTTGTTCAGGTAGGACTCGTCAGCATGAAACAGCATAAACATCGTTAGCTAGTGCAGTTACCTCAGGGCAGCCACTGGCCAAATTGGGGCACTAAGCGAAATGTTGTCATGAGACCGGGGCCCATCCCGGATCCTCCGCGGATGTATTTCCGGCAACAGTGCAGTTAAAAGAGTCGTGACGCACGGCCGGACTTATCTCAGCCAATGACAGCTCTGCATGCATCCCCTGGATATTATTGTATTAACTGCTTTCATCGCGACGTGATGTTTACAGTGAGAACAGCTGTGAGGTCCGTGCAGAAAGCAGATCAGTGTCTATAATATATATCACTCAGTATAACAGGCCTACATTACTCTCTTTATTTGTATGCTTTAGTTTAGTAGATATCTCTACAAACAAAGAGTCGATATTTGTCTAAAACCATTTAGTGCTTCACATAATAAAATACACAATGGCTGTATCCTGATATAGGCCTATATGATATGCTTTAGGAGCTGTAGGTGTGTGTGGTACAGTGTGTAGGTGCGTGTGGTACAGTGTGTGTATGTAGACCTGTCACGATAATATATTTTGTTGGACGATACATTTTCCTGGAAATTATTGCGATAAACAATATATTAATTAAATCACACACAACCAAAACAATAAATTAAATAGACTAAGGCTGGAAAACAGAGCTCTCTCTATCTATCTATCTATCTATTTATATATATATATATAAATATGAGCACACATTGTCTCACAAGCAAAAAAAACCTCCTTAAAACAACAGTCAAGTGTACAGTCCACTGTCCATACAAAGACCCAGATGCCTCAACAGGCCATATCCAAATCTGTATTTCAAAGATTTCGAGCAAGGAACACCAACATGTCTGCATTGTCGGGCAAATGCATCTTTGATTGCAAACTGTCGGGAAGGTGGGGGCCCTCCATCTCCAGCTGCCGTGTTTGCTCCCAGCTGGGAAAACGGAATGGGGTGGTTATGTTTTAGGTGTAGTTTAAGATTTGTGGTATTGCCTGCTTTTGTCGCTACCTTTTTTAAACAACTGCAACATACTGGCTCATTCAAATCCGTAGGTTGGCCTCATTCATTTGGCTTGAATCCAAAATACTGCCACACCGGAGATGTGTAGTTAGGTTTTGTAACCAATTCCATTTAACTTTAAATTCCCCTCGAGTAAGTCACACGTTGTCTCCCGCTTGTCGCTATATTATTAATTTGGATGCTACACTGCTGCACATGCACGCGGAGTGTCTGACTCCTGACCAAGCGGCAAACTCTGGGGAAGAGCCGGGACGCCAATACGGAAGTGCCACAAACTGCAGTTCATATATTGGCCGATAGGCGATGACTGCAGAAAGGAGCAATTTCCATAGACCCCCATGTTAAAATGCCCAATTTTACAGCAGAAAAAAACATGTTTCTACCCCTGGATGTAATAAATATTATTATGGATATAGTTAGATTCCACCTTCATGATTATGAATCTGTGAGTGAATTGTTTTCTAACGCGACCCTTTTATTTATATTAGGTCTTAAAGTTTTTGCATAAATTAGGGCGTGGCCACTTTGATGGACAGGTACGTGCCTCACTGTCAGCTAACAGCAACTTGTCCACTCTGCTAGGCTACAACGTTAGTTAGTTGTAGTTACTGTACTTGACCCTTTAGCCGTGTTCGTGGTGATTGTGCCTTTTAGGGAATATTGTTACAAATACCAGACAATTAAAATGTCGTGCTGTGCGCTTGAATGTACTAACAGAACTTCCAAGAAGTCTAAAATGATTATATTATACATGTTAACCCCGTTAGCAGGTGTTTGTGTGCTTGTTATGTAGCTTATTAGCCAGCTAAGGACGTAACCCTTTATATATATATATATAGAGTTTAGTTTATGATTCAGCCTTGGGTAAGACTTTTATAGTATATGGCTATGACGCCCATAATGCTAAACGGGAGCAAATGTTAAAAGGGGACCCAATTATCCCAGTGGTGGCCGCCGGAGCTAACGGAGCCGCAGGGGGCTAGCTCCAGCCGGCGTCCAGCTCCAGCCGGCGTCCAGCTCCAGCCGGCGTCCCGGAGCCCCCTGCGAATCCGTTAGCTCCGGGCGGTGGAGTCCGGCGTTATAACTGGAGATCAAGGAATGCAGCGAAACGCGGACTTGGTTCGCCTGCAGCCCGCTGTAGTATTAGTTAAATAAATTATGTTGAACAAGGCTTATTAAGCTGAACATCGCCACAATTGTTCTGCTATGTATCGGTACTTATTTTATTTTATTAATGTGATGACAAGCATTAAGAATAACAAAAAATAGCTAATTCTCTTGCAGATTGTCTCGTTTGATTATGAATGTAACGTTTATATAGGGGAACTACACTGTTTTATCAAAACCAAAGTGCCACGCAGTAACTTTGTATGCATGTATTTCATGTTAGCTTAGCTTCTTAGCCTGAGCTAGCTCTGTTTACTTCCAGTTCGGAGGCAGCAGGTCCCGCCTCGGCTCCGCCTCTTTGCCCTTATTTGGAGGAGGCTGGAGCAGGCGGGAGTTAGACTCTGACGTCACTGTCGAGCCGTTAGTAGCCGACTCCGCCTACTAAGGGCTTCTCGGCAACTCTGCAGAATCCTATGGGTGACGTCACGGACACTACATCCATTTATATATACAGTCTATGCTCCTGACCTGGCTGTGTGTCAGCCCCGCCCCTCACAGCGCGCGTGGTCGGCAGCCACAGCGCGCCTGGCTAAAATGCTGGTCACATCCTTATGTAAACGGCAATTGATCGAGTTTAGAAAAGTTATCGAGTCCATTTTTATTTATCGTACGATAAGTCAATTTATCGATTATCGCGACAGGCCTATGTGTGTGCGTGGATGCGGCGGACAGACAGGTCTCAGTTGGTTTGGTGTCCTATGCTTACATTTAATACTTGTAAATAAAACATTTGGCCCGTAATTTATTTTCCTCATTGTAGCGACCAGAGAGTGGGGGGGGATATATCCAGTCTCTGATAGTGTTACGTTATTATGAGAGTGCTCTCATACTTGTTTGATTCTGAAATTGTATATATTTATATAAATACAGTGTTTCCCCTATATACATTCAGCAGCGCTGTGGGCGCCAGTATGGGATTAGTTTTGTATCATAAAGATAAAGCAACACTTTCTCAGAATAAAGCAAAACTATGAGTTTAACCTCTTAAGCCCTGAGCCTGTTTTTCAGGTCTCAGGCTCGAAAATGACATTCCCAGAACAAATGACCATATCTTCCCTTCTAAAAGGGTTAAATTAATAATCTTTTTTCTCTGATGATAAACCTGTGAGTTGGATGTAGAGAAGTCAGAATCAATATAGATGTTTTTTATTTTAAAGAAAATTCAGATTTTACATAGTAAAAAACTGTAAATTATAGTGTCCGTCCAAAAATTATTTTTTACTTATAGTGAAAACTACCCTTGGATGATGGGTTAGTAGACTAAAAGCTTTAGGAATCCAAAGTACAACATATAATAAGTACCCTGTATCAAGATTGATGCAAAACAAGTGAAATCTGACCTTTTTAGAGAGATTTAGCAAAAAGAAACCACTTCTGGGGTCATTTGGGTGGATTTTCCATATCTCTGGCCCCCCTTTGTCGATTTTGACGAATGAAATCTCTTTCTGACCGTTAGAGCCAATAGAATCGAAGGGGAATTTCCCCACACACACACGGTAAAAAAAAAAAAGGTGGGGCCTTCGCGCATGCAGTTTTGCATCAGAGCGAACCTATCTCTCGCTCTGACATCTGGAAAAAGCAGTTTTATTGCTTATGGATTATCAGAAATCATTTCAAAGGGACACAGACACATTGGATTAGCCTATGGATTAACTTCAGCAGCGTTTTTATTGTTTTAATGCCATTGAAGACCACTTTTGACCAGACTACGACACAGGTAAGCCATGTTAGCGTTTTTAGCTACCTAGCGCCACATGTTTTGATGTCTGTTTTTGTTTATAAAGTTGCGAGTCCGTATCATAGAGTGATAATG